AATGAATCGATTCCCACAAAGCTTTCCTGACATGCGAACAATTTCAAAAATAGTTTTTGAACTACTAGAAACGTATATCTCTTTTTTGACAATCTTGACAGCGATAACGAATATACTTTTAGTGTAGCTTAATCCTTACCTTTTATCTTTTTGCTCACTCACATATTCTTGTTTTACAGAATCTCGAACATTAAAACGTGTGAATAATGAAGGTGATTCCTCTCCAGTTCTCCCAAACAAAAGACCCGCTAAAAGAAGAAGAGTAATTCTCTCATCTGACGATGAAGAGGACAACGAAGACGAAAACCTCTTAACTATACGGACACCATCTCCAGCTCAGGTGTTCTTCGTCCTCGGAGCACATCTGCTGAGTTATTAGTCATTTTTATTTTCTACAGGACAAGATCCTGACGTCCACACCTATGGCTGCTGAATTATCAACTCCAAAGAGTGTTCGTCCATTACGACCTCTTAAAGAATGTTCAACTCCATTGTCAACGGCTCAAGCCGAGTCCTTCATTGACTCATTCCGCGTCTGTGAAGACGATTTGGTACGACAAGTGTTTGTTTTTGATTCTTTTCTTAATGTTTTCTTACTAACTTTCATCTGGATTTTATGTGTCCTTAATGTTGATATTAGCCTGAGATTTTTCTAGAATGTTTCGGCAGCCTCAGTCGACACCTTGGACCGTACGATATATCGGGTTGAATCAAGCAGCCATAAGTCAATTAAAGAAGATGAGTTAGCTATGGTGGAAGAAGCAAAATTCCCTCATGAAACTTTCTCCTTTTTGAAGGTGCGATGTTTTTATTTTCGCTCAATTTCATTTTTGATTTGATGATCTACAGTTAGCTTTTCTTTACCCTTTCATTCTTATCATATGTGCTTAAGAGCTAAAATCTTAGTTAAAATAAGAGGCTACAGGAAGTAGGCGTAAAATCAGCCCAGAACTGCATTGGCATGATTTTGATCTGCTCTTTTCACCTTGATACCTTTAAGCCCGAGAATATTCGAGATGCGCAAGGTCGCCGTCCAGGCGATGATGATTACGATCCCACTACCTTATTCGTACCTGCAGACTTCTTAAAAGATCAGTCACCCGGTACTCTCTTGATCTTTGATTATCCGTTCCAGTCTGTCTTGCCTAACCCTCGTTGTTTTCGGTCATAAGCAGTGGTGGACAATTAAGAGTAAGAACTTCGACACCATCTTATTGTTCAAAGTCGGAAAATTCTACGAAACATACCATATGGATGCCATCATTGCTGTGGAATGTCTGGGGCTCACCTTTATGAGGGTACGATATTCACCATCTCACTGATTTGAAGTTTAGTCTTATGTCTCTAGGGTGGCCATGCTCATGCTGGTTTCCCGGAAGCAGCTTACGGCAAGTTTGCTGACCAATTAGTCTCGCGCGGTTACAAAGTTGCACGCATAGAGCAGACTGAAACGCCACAACAGTTGGAAGAGCGAAACCGCGCTATAAGAGGTGGAAAGGAGAAAGTGGTTCGAAGGTTAGAGTTTTATTATGTTAATAGAAAGTTCTTTGCAAAGTTTAGATGAAAAGCTTCCAATTTTTTGTTCGTGAATTCCATTTGCACTCTTCCCGCGTTTCATGTGATACACTTTTGGATTGGATTTTTTTGAAATTCTGTTGAATCCTTACAATTCCTTCCATGCTTAATGAAGGGGTAGGAAATTGAGTACTTGAACCTAATATTATTTCTCGGACGAGATTTGGCTCTTTTCTCCATCTTCTCTTCTTCTTCCTTCTGCCTTCTATGAAATGTATGT